CTTCATCTTGATTTGAATTTGGTCCATAATGTAATGGGTCCACATAAAAGTGCTACAAGAAACATGATAATGTGTGTATGGTCAATTTCATCTCTCTGTCTCTCCCACTCTCTCTCTCTCTCTCTCTCTCTCTCTCTCTCTTTCCCCCCTCTCTCTTTCTTTCTCTCTATCACAGATAATGTCTCCGTAGAGCCCAGTCAAATAATTAGAGGAAGAAATTGTTATTTTCCTTCCTACTTCTCGCGTGAGACTTGACATACTTGTGAAAAAAAGGAAACGCATGAAGCACACATTCGATGTGATTATAGTCTACTCAAGTCTACTGCGTTCCACTGTAGCTGTTTTTATCGTGATATCAAAAATTGTCTAAATGACACGTTTAAGATAACAAGAAAAATAGAAGAGATTATATAAAAAGATAATTTTTACATTCCCGGATGTCTGCATTACCGAAAGTTCTCCTTTTGAAGGCACCCATAATTTAATGTTTCTATCGCGTCCACTTGTTGCAAGAATGGGAATATGCGGATGACTATCCAAGCACATTACCTATAAATTAAATTTTAAAAAGTCGCTATTTTTTCGTCATACTGCAAATAAGAAAAATTTATTTATATTATATTTATGAAGTATAGAAAAACTTACGATTTCTGAATCTCCTGTCATATATTGTATGACAGATTCCGAATTTTTGTCCCAAATAAATATATTATTACCGGATCCAGATATAACATACTCGCTTTTAGGTCCGAAAAAATTACCTCTAATCACTGTAATCAACCAACAAAAGGTATGAGCAATTAATTAAATATTAAACAATCGGAATTATTTAAAGCATCGCTTCTCTCAACTATAATAATACTAACAAATTCTAAAAGAGACACCTCTCTCTCTCTCTCTCTCACTCTATAGACAGATTTTTTAAAAGAAATCTCTTATTAGAAACGCAAACACACACGAAAATTAATTAAAAAGCGTACCATCGAATCCCGTTTTTGTATATTATACCGTAGTTTTTCTCTCTTTAAACGCGCATAAAGAAAAACGTTTTAGAATTAAAAAGATTTATAGTGATCGTGAATAAAAAATAATGTAATTGTAAAATAATGTAATTGTATTTTATGTATAACCTACTCGATGATTCATACACATGATTCTGATACATATGGCCGTAATCTCCATACGACGTTATTAATTTATTAAATAGGTATAACTTCTTGTTAGGATATGTAGCGAGAATTTCTGTTCCGTTATAATTATACACAGCAGACATTATAGATACGCGTTCATCATTTTCCTAAAACATTTATATTATATATGTAAATAAACACATATGTAATAACAAATTATATTGCTTTCATTATCAACTTTTTTAGTAATAGACTTAATATAAGACGACGTACCACACATTCAGGCCATAGTTTACAAAGCGGTTTTGAAACTTTTCGTCGATCGTATACCATGACACAGTAGGAGCGACCAGAGATGCAAAATTCATTACTATTTGAAGGATTAGAATTTATACTGAATAATGCTACTTTCAGTTTCAATGCGCCTTGCTTTACTACAAGTAACCTATATGGACAAAAAAATTATATATGTTATAGAGGATTTATTATAAGAGAGTATTATAATAAAAGGAAAAAAAAAACACTTTTATCATATAACTGAAATCTGAAATTCAAGATACATATATATTAATTGAGTCTACTAATTATAACTTGATCAGTTCAGCAGTTATTGAAATATCCAATAATCTTAGGTATCGATCACAACTAAAATCTTGATATAAATAATTAATACAGTATAGATTAATACGTTGTAAGGTGTAAACATAAAGCACACACACACACACACATAAAAAAAATATAAATATATATTTGAACTTTTTAATCGCGATTACTCACTCTTTTGATTTGCTTTCCCTAATGTCTATGGATAACACTTTTGAGTCAGTTCCAGCAGAAAGGATTACATGAGGTGTTTCAGGATGCACAGCCAATGCGTACGAACTTTCGCACGAATCGTGCGTCGCTAATTTCGTCGACACGTGGCATTTAATATCCAATAAATTCACCCGGCTACAGTTATCAGAAAAAGCTATACAATTTTCCAACAGCAGCCACTTGGTCTAAACTCATACATTATAAATTAGGAATACTAATTATGGCTACATTCCAAAACGTCCTCCATCGCGGAAGATTTTAATCAAATATATATTTGCAATATATATTACGTATATTATAGTAAAATGTATATTTCGAGTAAAATATCCCTCAGAGAGGACATTTTGGAATGTATCCTAGAAAAAGATAAATAAAAATGTTCTTTTAATATAATTACATCAAAATAACTATTATACAACACTCTAATGCTATAATTAATTATAAATACATACATATAATACAGATTCATCCTTATCTGTAAAGAAGTAGCAGTTTTTTTTCCTTGCAGCCCAATCCCAAATACCAATCCTATCATCAACAACACACGCTAATAAATTTCCTTTGGGATTGAAATTTAAGACATCTATCGTTTCATAATCCTATAAATAATTATCAAATGTCAATGCATACCATTAAATAATGATACGAGAATAGCTTAGTGATACTTTCAATACAATGTATAAATCTACGTAGTTTAATGTATAATATTTACACGAGGTGGATTAGTTATCCATGATAGGGGTGGATAAAGTTTATACATAAGTTGGAACTGCTCTACTGCATATAAAGAACTGTAGAACCGTCTTCCGAATAATGGATTGCTACCTATCTGGCGATTTATCACTTCCGGTACAATATGCCAATTAGAAATTTTTCTTATTTTTTGATAATCAGCTACTTCTTTATTGTTCTCATCTTCAAAGTCCATTTTATTCTAAAAATTTTTTTGTTTATCCAAACTGTCAGCAATTATTTCTTCAAAGTATACACAATTTGCATCGGAAACTTAACACTATGGTTTTCTAAAACTAGATTAATTCACAATAAATAATAAACTTTTATTACACATATTATATATACATAAATTAAAGTATTAATTAAACATGCATATATTTGAGTAAATTATGAAAAATTTGGAAAAACGATTCTTGATTATCTAGAACCAATATCTATAATATCTATACCTTTTGTTCTTGATTAGAAATATATTAATAATAAAAGATGCATCCTTACCACAGTTTTCTCATTTTCTTGTAATTAAACAAATTAGTGCAAATAAGTTAATGAAATAGAGAACTAACTTATTTCAACGAACTCAACAAATTGAAATCTTTTATTGAAAAGCTTTATTTCAGTACTTTGACATTTCTGAAAGACAACAAAACATTCTTATTATCATAACTTTACGAAGTCAAAACTGAATTTAACATAAACTGTTTATTCTTTCGAGATCCTTTCTTAATTGAAAATTTCTACATCATCTTTGACGTTTCAAGAAGATAAAACATTTTTATTATTGTAACTTCAAAAAACAAATCTGAAAATACAATTAAAGTAAAGCTACAAATGCTTTGAAGCATTCTTCGATTAGACAATTAGGAAGAGGAAAATAGCAAGAGGTAAAAAGCAAGAAACAGGAAACAAAGAGTATATTGTAGAATAGATTTTAGTCCGGTTCTACAATAGGTGTTTTAAGTCTTAAGTCTTAAGAAACTGATCAATTACAGCCAAATACGAGAAGAATAATTATGATTCGTCCATTTCCTAAATTATGGCTTAAAGCTTAAAACTCTATTGTACATCAGGGCTAATTTAACTCTGCAACTCTAACAAAGCTGTTAAATTGTAAACGGAACGATGGATCAACTTGCTAATCGACAACTTTTTATTTTTCCAAAGAAACATATACGAAAAACTAAGAAAGTACTATAGTATATATAATATGTTTCTTTTCAAGAATAGAAGCCTGTTATATCTTGAAACGGGGTTCAAATCAAAATCACAAAGTGCATAAATATTTTTACTAGTTTATTTATAATTTCATAAGTCAATTTCTAGTAATTTGACCATTTTTGTAATTTTTATCGCGTTTTCTGGTACAGATTGAGGGTCATTTTGATCAACTCCGATTAACTTCAATCGCTGATTAGTCCATTGGAATTAACCAATCGCATTTGTCAACGACAGATTCCACGGACTAACCGATTAAAGTTAATCGGAGTTGATCGAAGTGGTGAGACTAGATTGGAGTTTAATCAAAAGAAAGGAAATGAATATTAATTTTAGTAAACTTTGCTTTGATCGATCAAATTCCAATGCAATCTCAATCTCCTGAACTTTCTACAATATGCGTATTATGTATGAAACAGAACGCACCTTATTTAGGACATGTGCATCGCGCAATAAAGCAATTGGTACCGGCAGTCGTTAACAAATTTTTTTGTAATAAGAATTTTCCTTTTTAGAATAAAAAGATACGCTTGATACATTCCCAGACAGCACACAATATTTATAAAATATTTACAAAATATTTATAAGATTTATTTTAAATATTTTGTAATTATTTTTGTGGCCTTGGATTGCACAGATTATAAACATTTATTATAAATATCATGAAATATTTATTGTAAATGTTATAATAAATGCTATGAAAATACTTAATGCGATATTATAATTCAAGTAAAAAATACTTATTAGAAATATTTATTTATATTTACCATAAGTATTACATGAAATATTTAGTCTATATTTTAATAATATTTCAAATAAAGCTTTATATAAAATATGTATGTAATATTTATGCAACATTTAAAAAATTGAATATTAAAAAATGTTTATCATAAATATTCTGTGCTGTCTGGGTTATAAATGTAATAACTCATCCCAATATTAAATCGTACTAATTTATGCAATAATTTTAAGATGGAAGACACTGTGTTCTTTCAATGTCGCCGCATTCGGATAGCCTATCGTCGATAAAGTCGTCCGAGCTTGAGCTACTGGAAATACTATCTTCATCATGGCTGCTGTCGGTATCATCTTCATCTTGATTTGAATTTGGTCCATAATGTAATGGGTCCACACAAAAGTGCTACAAGAAACATGATAGTGTGTGTATGGTCAATTTCATCTCTCTGTCTCTCCCACCCTCTCTCTATCTCTCTCTCTCTCTCTCTCCCCCCCTCTCTCTTTCTTTCTCTCTATGACAGATAATGTCTCCGTAGAGCCCAGTCAAATAATTAGAGGAAGAAATTGTTATTTTCCTTCCTATTTCTCGCGTGGGACTTGACATACTTGTGAAAAAAAGGAAACGCATAATGAAGCACACATTCATCGATGTGATTAGTCTACTCAAGTCTACTGCGTTCCACTGTACTGCTTTTATCGTGATATTAAAAATTGTCCTTAAATGACACGTTTAAGATAACAAGAAAAATAGAAGAGATTATATAAAAAGGTAACTTTTACATTCCCGGATGTCTGCATTACCGAAAGTTCTCCTTTTGAAGGCACCCATAATTTAATGTTTTTATCGTGTCCGCTTGTCGCAAGAATGGGAATATGCGGATGACTGTCCAAGCAAATTACCTATAAATTAAATTTTAAAAAGTCGCTATTTTTTCGTCATACTGCAAATAAGAAAAATTTATTTATATTATATTTATGAAGTATAGAAAAACTTACGATTTCTGAATCTCCTGTCATATATTGTATGACAGATTCCGAATTTTTGTCCCAAATAAATATATTATTACCGGATCCAGATATAACATACTCGCTTTTAGGTCCGAAAAAATTACCTCCAATCACTGTAATCAACCAACAAAAGATATGAGCAATTAATTAAATATTAATCAATCGGAATTATTTAAAGCATCGCTTCTCTCAACTATACTAACAAATTCTAAAAGAGACACCTCTATAGAAAGATTTTTTAAAAGAAATCTCTTATTAGAAACGCATACACACACGAAAATTAATTAAAAACCGTATCACCGAATCTCGTTTTTGTATATTATACCATAGTTTTTCTCTTTTTAAACGCGCATAAAGAAAAACGTTTCAGAATTAAAAAGATTTATCCCAGTAAGCAAGAAACATTTTGGAATATTTCAGCAACATTGTAGCAATGTTACAACGTTGCTACAATGTTGTTGAAATATTCCAAAATGTTTTTTGCTTACTGGGATAGTGATCGTGAATAAAAAATAATGTAATTGTAAAATAATGTAATTGTATTTTATGTATAACCTACTCGATGATTCATACACATGATTCTGATACATATGGCCGTAATCTCCATACGACGTTATTAATTTATTAAATAGGTATAACTTCTTGTTAGAATATGTAGCGAGAATTTCTGTTCCGTTATAATTATACACAGCAGACATTATAGATACGTGTTCATCATTTTTCTAAAACATTTATATTATATATGTAAATATATATATAAACACATATGTAATAACAAATTATATTGCTTTCATTATCAACTTTTTTAGTAATAGACTTAATATAAGACGACGTACCACACATTTAGGCCATAGTTTACAAAGCGGTTTTGAAACTTTTCGTCGATCGTATATCATGACACAGTAGGAGCGACCAGAGATGCAAAATTCATTACTATTTGAAGGATTAGAATTTATACTGAATAATGCTACTTTCAGTTTCAATGCGCCTTGCTTTACTACAAGTAACCTATATGGACAAAAAAATTATATATGTTATAGAGGATTTATTATAAGAGAGTATTATAATAAAAGGAAAAAAAAAACACTTTTATCATATAACTGAAATCTGAAATTCAAGATACATATATATTAATTGAGTCTACTAATTATAACTTGATCAGTTCAGCAGTTATTGAAATATCCAATAATCTTAGGTATCAATCACAACTAAAATCTTGATATAAAAAATTAATACAGTATAGATATACGTTGTAAGGTGTAAACATATAGCACATAAAAAAAATATAATATATATTTGAACTTTTTAATCGCGATTACTCACTCTTTTGATTTGCTTTCCCTAATGTCTATGGATAACACTTTTGAGTCAGTTCCAGCAGAAAGGATTACATGAGGTGTTTCCGGATGCACAGCCAATGCGTACGAACTTTCGCACGAATCGTGCGTCGCTATTTCCGTCAACACGTCGCATTTAATATCCAACAAACTCACCTGGCTATAGTTATCAGAAAAAGCTATACAATTTTCCAACAGCAGCCACTTGGTCTAAACTCATACATTATAAATTAGGAATACTAATTATGGCTACATTCCAAAACGTCCTCCATCGCGGAAGATTTTAATCAAATATATATTTGCAATATATATTACGTGTATTATAGTAAAAAATGTATATTTCGAGTAAAATATCCCTCAGAGAGGACATTTTGGAATATATCCTAAAAAAAGATAAACAAAAATGTTCTTTTAATATAATTACATCAAAATAACTATCATACAACACTCTAATGCTATAATTAATTATAAATACATACACATAATACACATACATCCTCATTTGTAAAGAAGTAGCTGTTTTTCCTTGCAGCCCAATCCCAAATAGAAATCTCATCACCAACAGTACACGCTAATAAATTTCCTTTGTGATTGAAATTTACGACATCTATCGTTTCATAATCCTATAAATAATTATCAAATGTCAATGCATACAATTAAATAATGATACGAGAATAGCTATACTTTCAATACAATGTATAAATCTACGTAGTTTAATGTATAATATTTACATGAGGTGAATTAGTTATCGATGATAGGGGTGGATAAAGTTTATACATAAGTTGGAACTGCTCTACTGCATATAAAGAACTGTAGAACCGTCTTCCGAATAATGGATTGCTACCTATCTGGCGATTTATCACTTCCGGTACAATATGCCAATTAGAAATTTTTCTTATTTTTTGATAATCAGCTACTTCTTTATTGTTCTCATCTTCAAAGTCCATTTTATTCTAAAAATTTTTTTGTTTATCCAAACTGTCAGCAATTATTTCTTCAAAGTATACACAATTTGCATCGGAAACTTAACACTATGGTTTTCTAAAACTAGATTAATTCACAATAAATAATAAACTTTTATTACACATATTATATATACATAAATTAAAGTATTAATTAAACATGCATATATTTGAGTAAATTATGAAAAATTTGGAAAAACGATTCTTGATTATCTAGAACCAATATCTATAATATCTATACCTTTTGTTCTTGATTAAAAATATATTAATAATAAAAGATGCATCCTCTTACCACGATTTTCTCATTTTCTTGTAATTAAATAAATTAGTGCAAATAAGTTAATGAAATAGAGAACTAACTTATTTCAACGAACTCAACAAATTGAAATCTTTTATTGAAAAGCTTTATTTCAGTACTTTGACATTTCTGAAAGACAACAAAACATTCTTATTATCATAACTTTACGAAGTCAAAACTGAATTTAACATAAACTGTTTATTCTTTCGAGATCCTTTCTTAATTGAAAATTTCTACATCATCTTTGATGTTTCAAGAAGATAAAACATTTTTATTATTGTAACTTCAAAAAACAAATCTAAAAATACAATTAAAGTAAAGCTACAAATGCTTTGAAGCATTCTTCGATTAGACAATTAGCAAGAGGAAAATAGCAAGAGGTAAAAAAGCAAGAAACAGGAAACAAAGAGTATATTGTAGAATAGATTTTAGTCCGGTTCTACAATAGGTGTTTTAAGTCTTAAGTCTTAAGAAACTGATCAATTACAGCCAAATACGAGAAGAATAATTATGATTCGTCCATTTCCTAAATTATGGCTTAAAGCTTAAAACTTTATTGTACATCCGGGCTAATTTAACTCTGCAACTCTAACAAAGCTGTCAAATTGTAAACGGAACGATGGATCAACTTGCTAATCGACAACTTTTTATTTTTCCAAAGAAACATATACGAAAAACTTAGGAAGTACTATAGTATATAATATGTTTCTTTTCAAGAATAGAAGCCTGTTATATCTTGAAACGGGATTCAAATCAAAATCACAAAGTGCATAAATATTTTTACTAGTTTATTTATAATTTCATAGGTCAATTTCTAGTAATTTGACCATTTTTGTAATTTTTATCGCGTTTTCTGGTACAGATTGAGGGTCATTTTGATCAACTCCGATTAACTTCAATCGCTGATTAGTCCATTGGAATTAACCAATCGCATTTGTCAACGACAGATTCCACGGACTAACCGATTAAAGTTAATCGGAGTTGATCGAAGTGGTGAGACTAGATTGGAGTTTAATCAAAAGAAAGGAAATGAATATTAATTTTAGTAAACTTTGCTTTGATCGATCAAATTCCAATGCAATCTCAATCTCCTGAACTTTCTACAATATGCGTATTATGTATGAAACAGAACGCACCTTATTTAGGACATGCGCATCGCGCAATAAAGCAATTGGTACCGGCAGTCGTTAACAAATTTTTTTGTAATAAGAGTAGGTATCGGTTAAGATTCTTCATAAAATAGAAACAGAAAATTACAAAATAATAGGAAATTTATCAATAAAAGCGGAAAAGTAAGGAAGGGTAAAAATTTGATTTTATTATTATAGTAATAAGATTAATTATATGATGAAATTATTTGAATCTCTGTAGACTCGTATATATTAAATTTAATTAAATTTAAAATTAAATAAAAAAATTTCTAAATAAAATGTCTATAGCTATATCTTATTTGTTTGGTGGAATTCGGTTTTATTTATGAAATAAATACAGCTGTACTTTATATATGTATGTAAACTAAAAATAATTCTTCTATCCTTTTTAGCAAAAAATCTAGAAATTCATAATACTATAATATATATATATGTAATACTATGTAAAATTATACATATTAACACAGCATTTAATATATTCTAAATATGCGCATTTATCGTTAAAAGTAATGTGGATACGGATTATAATTTATATAGGTCCCAAGAATCATTAGAATGTCACGTGGTCGATGACGTAGCTGACGCACGCGTATAACGCTCTTCCGAGGGATTTTATTTCGTATCCCTCGGGTACTCCGATAGTCCGATTTTCCAACACTGCGCCGCACTCCGCAGTCCGCAGTCGCTCCGAGTCGTTCCAAGCTTCGAGTTGACTGAAGCGTCGTGTACGTCCGTTCGGTCGGATTCCCCACTTCGCGTCCTCGGTTTCGAGGAACTCTATCGCCAACCGATAAACCGTTATCACCGTTGACGCGCGTCGGAACGTCAACTCGCATCGCATCCTCTCGTCGTAGCGTCCGCAGGGTGAAAAACTACGAAGATGACGGTAATCACGAAAGCGATCACCGAGAAGAAGGCGTCCGACAAAATGGAGCAGCCATTGTTTGTGGAGGAAAACGCGGCGGTTAGTATATATGTACACACCTCGTTCGCAATGCCCGATCGCGTCACTCGGATCGTTAATTTCCTTCGACACCTCAGGACCCCGTCGCGATCGGAGAACGCCGCTATTTTTATAACTGACCGCGTTAGGGTCGCGTTGTGCGCAGCGAAGCCACTTAACGCAACCCTTGGCACATACACGTATAACGTATCACATATCTGGTAATAATTCTTGTCGAATATATACATATGTATGTGTACATATTCAACAAATTGTCAATTTATGTGCCAAAGTACGTTATATATATGTATACTTGTTTCTATGCTATCAGCAGGGAATGCTTGGGTATTATATATATATGTATATATATATATATATTTGATAGTGTTGACAGGGATTGTACACACACATGCCAGAGTGTATGTGTATGTGTGTCCACCAACGGGAGAGCCAAGCCAAGTAAATTAATGAACAAAATATACTGCTATATATTGTAACATGACAGATGCAGTACATGCCTCAATAAAGATGATGTATGACACATTAAATGACAGGGAAATGAGGCAGCTAAGGAAGGATTAAAAAAAATGAAACCCTCTTTAACTTTTTTATTGATTTTGAAACACTTGATTGTTTTTCATCATATATCTTGTCAATTAGCATGGAAACGGAGTCTTAAAGTTAATCCTTAAAATTGTTAAATTTTTGTTATACACTTTTTACATGTAATTTTTTATACAGTTAAATTAAATTTTGAGGAATAATTAAGTAATTGTATGTTATTCAAATAATTGCTTGTTTATAATACTTTTGAGGTTTTACGGATATTTTCTTCAGAGATTTCAAAGATAGATTAAATACAGGTATTCTTCTTTAATAGGATGGTACAAAAGCTGATCCTGAAGCAGGACGTTCAAAAACAGATGCGGTCCCCAGAAGCCGTTGCTTCATATCTAGAACAAGCATCCATCGTATACATATGGCGACAACATTTTTGCTCTTTCTTCTTGCGTTATCGATACTGCTTATTGGCATGATTGGTGGGCTATACATCTACAAACAGTATGCCAGGACTCAGATGCGTAGATTCAGTACTGGCTGGTACAGCATTCCATATGACAGCTCGAACAAAGCGTCCTATGGCAATAACGCAGTTCATCAGGGACTTTTGGCTGATTCCGATCTGTTTACCAAGAGTCTCACCAGAGCCATGGAGCAGGACGCTCTAGATATTGCAAGACACATAGATCATGATATTAATAATTTCTTCAAGGAGAGATTTGAGATTGATCTTGAGAATGAGCATTATGAGAAGATTGATGTGCCTGATTTTCGTGGTGGACGACAAGGTCGCTTCATACACGATTTCAACATTGTGAGTCAATGACCGATATTATAATCGGTTCTCGTTTTTAAGAACGTTAAATATAGTCTTAAGATGTCATAAGTTAATCATAGAGCATCTTAAGATATTATTTAAGATGGTTTTAAAATAAAAACTACTATGAATACCGACCAATATCATATTTCTGTGTCATAACAAAATGATTGTTTGCATCACACAGGACATATTTCTTACAATACCATGTTTATTTACAGAATAAGACAGGTATTATAGATATTGACGGTCAGTGTTGCTTTGTCATGCCACTGAATCGTCAGCGCGTATTGCCACCTCGTAATATGTATGATCTCCTTAGAAAAATGTACAATGGTAAGTATATGATTCAATTTGAATTAATTAATTTTAATTATAATTTATTTATTATTAAATTATAACGCACTTGCAATTTTTGTATATCAGGTTACTATGAAGTGAACACTGCAGTCGTACGAGAAACTATGAGAGTAGTCACGCCGCCAATTACCGATATGTCGATCGTTGGAACATACATAGCGCGTGAATGCCAGGATTTGCCTACTTATATGCTACAGAAAGTGAATTCTTCTAGTAGTTAGTTATCAAATTTCAAGTTATACCCATACAATCCTGGTGAAAATTTTTCTAAGAATTTTTCATATATATTTTTTCAGGATTTTTTGTAAATTCAGAATTTTTCCGAATTTCTAAATAATTTTACAACTTTTAAAAAAATTCTAAATTTTTTAAACAAACTGAAACATACACACTTTTCAAAAGTGCCAAGAGAGTCTACATCTTTTCTAAAATTCTTCATATATGTGAATTCTAAAATATCCTAAGATTTCTAAAATTTTTTTTTGTGTACGTTCTGATGAAATTTTATAAAATCTGTAAAAATTTAAAGTATTCTTTAAGAAATAGAATGAGAAATATATAAAGAGTAAATAGAAATAGAATGAGAAATCTTATGAATAATTTTTATATTATAATAAAAAAAAAAGTTGATTTTGTACAGTATTTCTGAAAAGTGTTCTAATTTGTATAAAAATGTTAAGAAAAATTTCTTCCAGGGAAGATCAAATCTCTCTCATATAATCTATTATTGTGTTTTCAAATATTTCAGTTGTAAAACGCAGCGCATCGCAGAGCGGAGTATTCGGACAGTTTGCCGGCAATAATATCATGGAAGTCGATATTGTGAATTTAGAAGACTTCGAATGAAACTATGAG